GTGACGAAAATCACTCGGATTGGCCCGGCACAGTGACAGGCCCATTCCCATTCGAGAACTGGTACTCGACCGGGTGGATCCGGGACGCAACAACACAGTGTCTTGGAAGCCTCTGATCCCTCCGAACCAGTCGTGCTGCTTGAAGATCCATTCATCCGAAGTCGTCCCGGCCCTGGTTTCGGAATCGGTGAAGAGGTCTTCCAGCCTGTACTAACAGGCAAGTACCGCTTTGTATCAAAATTTTCTCTTCCTGAGCCGGCCTCCATTTCCAGTAACAATTACTTAACGCGTTGCGTGGACGTAACAAGTTCAACGCCTTCTAGACTCCTGACGTACCATGCTAGCCAACCAGGACGCATTGTAGAAAGTTTATTGGAAGCCCCCAGTTCCTCTAACACAGTCGTGCACGTCCCTGCCTGCGTTCATCACAGTCGTCCTGGACCTGAGTTTAGATGTGGGCTGGGGGTCTTCCAACCTCCTATGACAGGCAAGTACACACTCAACCATTCAAATTCGATACCTGATGCCGATCGAACTTTCAGCACTTTGAATGCCGCTGTGCCAACTCCATCTCGAAACTCGGAACGCATCGTAGAAAGCCTCATGGAAGTCCCCAATCCCTCCGCCTCAGTCCTGCCACTTGCTGTCTCCGCGCATCATCGTCGTTCCGGGCCTGTGGTCGGATGTGGAGAGGGGATCTTCCACCCAACTTATTTTGGCGAGTATTCTTCCGATCTTGACATTGGTCAGCTACTTCCTGTCGTTCCTGTGATTTCCAGGAAGAACCAAAGCCCGCTGACATGCCGTTTGCAGAACACCGAGACCCTCAATCACAACGACCAATTCTCCGTTTCAAGCCGAACATCAGCCGCCATTTCATCTAGCCTGGGACGCACGTCACAAAGCAGTATGGAAGCCCTGGACCCACCTAGCTCAGCTGCGCCCACTACTGGTTCCAGTCCTGGTCAGTTCACACGCCCCCACCATCTAAGTCGTCCCGGCCCTGAGTCTAGTGCTGGGGACAGGGCTTTCCAAGCTGCCATCCACGGCAAGTACCCTTATTCTTTCGACGTTGCTTTGCCTGATGCTGCCTCCACTTCCAGATTGCAGCCCGCTGTTCCATGCGTCCCAGCATCTCAAATTCTGCTATACTACCAGAACGTCGGTGGCATGAACAGCTCACTCGCCGAATACCAGCTAGCATGCAGCGACGCATGCTACGACATATACGCCTTCTTGGAAACTTGGCTGAATAACAACACTTTGTCAAAGCAGTTGTTTAACGATACATATTCCGTCTACCGTCAAGATCGATCAACCCTCAACAGCAACAAGACCTCCGGTGGTGGAGTCCTTCTGGCCATTCGCTCCTGCTTCGTATCTCGCTTACTGAAACCTCCTGAAGATTCGACGGTTGAGCATCTGTGGGTTGCAATTTCAACTCTAAGTGGTACAATCTATATCTGCGTGATATACGTTCCTCCCGACCGCGTTAACGACCACAGCCTGATTGAGAAGCATGCACTTTCGCTGGATTGGATTGTCTCTCAAATGGATGCCAGGGACAGCATCGTCATCTTGGGCGATTTCAACCTTGGCACTGTATCGTGGCTTCTTCTTTCCTGACAATTCCCGTTCATCGTTCAGACCGGCTTCTCTCTCCTTGCTTGACGCGTATTCAACCGCAAGGCTTCAGCAAGTGAATGGCGTTCTGAATGCAAACAACCGTTTGCTCGATCTTTGTCGGGGAGGATTTGGGACAAAGCTGCTCTGTTACCCATGCTCCGGCACCGCTCGTCAAAAACTGCAGACATCATTCACCTCTACTGTTGACGCTTGCAATCGATCCTGAGAAACGCTTCCAAGACCACGCCGAAACCGTCTTCTACAACATTCACAAAGGAGACTTCGAGCGAATGAATAACTTTCTCGCTAATGTGGATTGGAATGCGACACTAGACTCCGGGGATGCGAATCTGGCTGCCTCGACCATGTGTGGTATCATATTCTACGCTATCGATCAGTTTGTGCCTAAAAAACTACGGTGTAAACCTGCCAAACCCGCCTGGTCGAACTCTGATCTTAAGCATCTGAAAAAGGTGAAAAGGGCTGCACTGAGGAAACACAGTAAATATCACACAGATTCTACGAAGGCTAATTACGTCCGCGCCAACAACGAGTACAGAGATTTCAATGCAAGCTTGTACAACGCACATCAGTCTCACTTGCAGAGTCGTCTCAAAGCTAATCCTAAGGAATTCTGGCGATATGTGAACGAGCAACGGAAAGAAACGGGATTGCCGTCCAATATGACTGATGGCGTTACAGATGCCAACTCCGTCGCAGATATCGCCAATATGTTTCGCACACAATTCAGCAGCGTTTTTTCAGACGAAGCTCTTGATGCTCAGGAAATTGCTGCTGCCACGAGTAATGTCCCTCGTACGTCGGTGTTTGGTTCTCCATTCACCATCCACAGCGACATGGTGATTTCAGCCGGGAAACAGATGAAAACATCAACAGGATCTGGTCCAGATGGCATTCCCTCATTAGTACTGAAACGTTGCTTAGACACTCTTTCAGAGCCCTTAGCTAAGGTCTTCAACTTGTCAATGACCTCCGGAGTTTTTCCAGAATGTTGGAAGGATTCGTTTGTTTTCCCTGTTCACAAAAAAGGATGCAAGCAGACTGTCGCCAATTACCGCGGAATAGCTGCATTGAGTGCTATCTCCAAACTATTCGAGCTAATTGTCCTGGAAAAGTTGGTTCAAGACTGCTCATACAGTATTTCTCAGGATCAACACGGCTTCATGCCTAAGCGCTCGACGACGACTAATCTAACTGTTTTTACATCGTTCATTATTCGTGGGATTGAACGTGGCCATCAAGTTGACGCCATATACACCGACCTCTCTGCAGCTTTCGATAGAGTGAACCATGAAATTACCATCTCTAAATATGACAAAATGGGTGTTCATGGGAGTCTACTTACCTGGCTTCGCTCCTATCTGACTGGCAGATCTATGTCTGTTAAGATCGGTGATTACGCTTCTCCACCCTTCATTGTTATATCTGGTGTTCCTCAAGGCAGCCACCTGGGCCCATTGCTTTTCCTGTTGTATATGAACGACGTGAACTTGATCCTCAAATGCCTTAAACTCTCGTACGCCGACGACATGAAGCTCTACTACGTAATAAAAGGGCCTCAAGACGCTCATTTCCTCCACCAAGAACTTGAAGTCTTTGATGATTGGTGCTGGATAAACAGGATGTCTTTAAATGTGTCCAAGTGCTCGGTCATCTCGTTTGGCCGTAAACGGGCGATGCATTTCCACGATTACACCTTAAGAGGAATAAGCTTGAAACGCGAATCAACTGTCAAGGACTTGGGAGTCATGCTCGATTGCAAATTAACGTTCAAGGATCACATTGCTTATGTTGTATCTAAAGCTTCATCGCAGCTAGGATTTTTATTCCGTTTCGCCAAAAGCTTCAAGGACGTGTATTGCCTGAAGGCTTTATACTGTTCCCTGGTTCGACCTATACTGGAATACTCTGCCGTTGTTTGGTCGCCATTCTATCAGAATGCCATCCATAGAATTGAAGCTGTTCAGCGAAAATTTATTCGCTTTGCGTTGCGACACCTTCGTTGGCGCGACCCGCGTAACTTGCCGAGCTATGAAAGTCGCTGTAACCTCATCGACCTGGAGCTCTTGGAAGGAAGGCGTAATGTGGCGAAGGCTTGTTTCGTTGCGGATCTTCTGCAAGGGAACGTCGACTGCTCCACACTTCTCAGTCTTCTTGACATCAACACTCAACGACGGGACCTCCGGCTGCATGCGTTCTTCAACAACCGGCGTTCGAGGACCAACTATGGCGTACACGAACCAATGTTGAGTATGTGCCGCGTTTTCAATAGTTGTTATTATGTGTTCGATTTTAATGTGTCCCGCGAGAAAAATAAGCGTAGCTTTAAGAGATGTTTGCGTTAATTTTGTGTTTGAAGCCGTTTTGATGTTTAGATATAGAAAATTGTCATTAGGGTAACTATGTTATCTGTTGACAAGTAGAAATAAATAAATAAATACACAGGCCCTGTTAGAAAAGTAGTCGTGATTCAATTTGAAGAACTGATAACATAAATTGGCATCTTTACTAAAAAAGAACAACTGTGCAAATTTTCATCAAAATCGGAGCCGACAAATTAAAAAAAAAATTAAAAAAATCGTCAATCTATAGAGAATTGCTCCTTTGTAGAATTCTCGCTTTTTATCGATGATTGCCTGGATTGTGGTCTCCTTGTATCCGTTGAGTCTCGCTGTTTCGAAGATGTAGTGTAATTCCTTAACCTTTCCTGTGTCGCTGAGAGGAACAGTCTGCATCCGATGAATCATGTGGTGGAACGAATGGTTGGAAGCACAAACGAAGTGACAGACGGAGCGGCTCGAAAACTTTGGTGACTAACCTGCTATTGCAATTTTTCAGTGTACCACATGGCAACACCACTACTACTGGATTGAACCACATGGCAACACTACTACTGGATTGAACTAGCATTTTCACCAAATGTACTAGAATGTTTTGGTTCTATCTCTTTCACTCTACTCAAAACTGAAATGCATAAAAAAATGAGAAAATGATACGCACTCTTTGCACACTGTCAAAGAATCATTGTACACAAAATCAACTTTGTTCAAATCAAAACAAAAAAACTAACCCATCTGGTGGATGATGGCATAAGCTTCCAAGAAAATTCTATTACAGTGAACCACATTATTTAAATGGATTTCTTCGCCAGTTAGTCGTCTGTCACTTCGTTTGTGGTTGGAAGTATAGGGGATAAATCTTTTGGTGCTTGTTGGTTTCCTGTAAATTTCGTATTCAAGCGAAGAAGATGATGACGATTCCTTGATGACTAGAAGATCGAGAAAGGCGAGTTTCCCGTCTTTGTCTACCTCGTGAGTGAATTTGATATCCTTGTGAATTCTGTTGACCTCATCTAAAATTTGTGGAAGGGCTTCCCATTTAACTACGCTGAAGATATCGTCAACAAACCTCCACCAACGGTTTGGTAATAGTCCTTTCTCCTTCAGGATTGTCTCCAAGTTGGCCATGAAAAGTTCACACAGGAAGGGGGATAGGGGGTTTCCCATTGGGGCTTCTTTCGTCTGCTTGTAGAAGTTACCTCGGGAAGAGAAGTAGTTCTCTTCCATACAAAGGCGGGTCAGCTTAAGGTACGTCCGAACCTTGTGGAGCAGATCATCATTGACATAGAGATGTAATGCAATAATTCTGGACAGCAATGAAGTGTTCGCCATTTCTGCATAAAACGTGCGTTATTTACTGCAATAAAACAACGAATTTTGTTGTTGTTGCCTTTATTAACTCTTTATTGACTTATAACAAAACAGTCTCCAATTGCTGCCGATTTACAGCCGACTCGTTTGACGACCGCTCCTCCGAAGCTACCTCCTCGCTAGATCTTAGTTCCGATGCCACATCCAGCTCCCAGTGATCGTCCTCGTAGCGAAACTTAAATCCCATCACATTCCCGGACGACCAGCTCAAAATTTCTTCCACCGTCGTTCCCTCTGTTGTAGTAGTGGTTGCTTCTGCCGGTTCCATTACGGAATCGACAGACACCCTTCGACCGGAGGTTTCGTCTTGGCCCAACGAAAGCAGCTCCTGCAGTGCCAGCCCAAATAGCGCACTCAACTCGGAATCCTTAGAAAGCTTCGTCAAGCTGTTCTCATTTTCTCCAAACTTGATCGAAAACCCATCGGTGTCCAGCGTCAGCTCCACGATGGCGGATTCCGACTGGACGAAGGGACTAAGTAACGAGTCGATCAGTCCGGATGCATCGATGGACTCCGTCGTGGTTCCGACAGTGGATGATTCGGAAATATGCGATTCTTCTTTAATCCGTATTGTCTCGGGAGTGGTGGACGACAGTTCCTCGATACTTGGTGTCGTACTCTGACATGCGATCTGCTTCTTCGGTAAAAGAACTTCGCCTTGCCGGTAGACTACCCATCCGATAACCACTACAGCAAGTAATACACCGTAGAGAACGGCTTGGTACACTCGTGATGAACACCGGTTTCGCTTCAAAACTCCTCCTTCCACATCGTATTGTACCTTCGTTGTTGGGAGCATTTTTAATTTTAGACTAGACTTATGTGGGGAAAGATGAAAACTAACGTCCCATTTGGTGATCTACCGAGAATTTATAATCGTTCTACGACCCTTACATCAATGAACATTTCTGTGACCATGAATATTGACATTCAATCGATCATCGCCCGCAGAATCGAAACGCTTGTTTTCCCCGAGATTAGTCTGGAAATCTAAACATCGCCGTCTCGGAAGAATGATCATTGCCAGACTTTGTCGAGCCGGTCTATCGATGGAGATTCGAAGCATCAACCGGAGAACAGCAAGCGATAAGGCAAAATGAAGGGTTCTGAATACGTTGCACGTTATTATTATCGCGTAACTAGGAGATTTTCTTCCGTTATCTGCGTCATAATGCCATTCAGAGAATTGATTTCAAAGGGCAACTACAGGCGTTAATGAAAATAGCTACTTTGGTTGACTGTTAGTTAGACTGTTAGGGAGTTGAAAATAAATATTGAAATCCTGTGAGAAAATCGCAAAACATTTATTCTACAGAGTTAGGAGGAAATGCTATACTACTAATATCAACATGAAGCATTAGTGTGATAATATATTAGCTAGAGAAAGTTCTGAAGAGAATAGATGACGACTTCCGGTTATAATCAAAACTGTCAAATACCCATCAATAGGGTATTTTTCGGAACAGAGACGACGGTCAGAAGCCAATAATCCATGTTAGATGCATTTTTATTATTCCATAATGGGGACTTCCGGTTTTCTGATGTTCAAGATGACAACTTCCAGTTTTGTTTTTAAACTGGCAGTATGGATATATTTTTTTAATCTGATATTTTTGTAATGGGGACGACGTGTAGAGGCCGGAAATCGATGCATGAATCAATTTTGGAATCCAAAATGGCAACTTTCTGCTCTAAAAACTGTTAAGTAAGTAAGAGTATTTTTGGAACTGACATGACGTGTAGAGGTTGGAAGTTATTGTGTAGCTCTATTTTGAAACCCAACATGACAACTTTCGGTTCAATAAAAACTGTCCAGAAAAAAGTTACCGAAATTCAAGGAAGCTCTGAGCGCTTCAGGAAACCGACAACTTCAATGAAGTCACGAGAACTCCTGGGTAGTTCTAAGAAAAGTTCCGAAAACTATAGGGAAGTTGCAAGAATTTCAAAGAAATGCCGAAAACTTCATTGAAATTTAGAATACTTTTACGAATTTCAGGGAGCATTAGGCAAGATTTTAGGGGAGTTTCAAGAGCTTCAGTAAAATTTCGAAACTAAAGGTTAATATTTTACCAAAAACAACACCCTGCTGACGACTGATTTAAAGTTCTCGGAAGTTCCCTAAGGTCCCGTAGTTTTGCAGAAATATTCGAAGCTCTCTAGAAACTCCGTATGAGCTAAAATAATCTTCTCGTAATATTAGGTCCAATACCAACTTCTTTGGTCTTGAAATCACACCACCACATCACGAAAAACTTCGAAGATCATCAATCCCTAGAAAGCAAAAGAGGCCCCTAGCCTTGGATCTTTTAAGGGGAGGTGCATTTGGATTTGGCCGAAAATCGTGCAAACTATGTGAATTTTGTGTGGGAAAACGAAAAGACATACAAAGTTGTGCTATTGAGTTTTAACAACAATCAATACGAAACTAACGATTTTAAATTGGCTCACTACTTGACTAGCCTCTTGGTCCCAAGCAAATCGATTAACGCACCCCATTCTAGTCGAAATTCTAGTACTACACTATGTTTATTTTGATTTGATATGAAAGTTTGACAGATAAAATGAGGGGTTCGTAGATTTTCCGATGTTTCGAGGGGTGCATCGATTAGCTTGGAACCGAAGATAGTACCAGAGCTGAGCCAAAAAGTTGAGCTCGTTTCTTCGGGACCTTCTGGTCTTAGAGTTACCTCTATGGTTTTAATGCGTTAAACATTGATGACTACAAAATGTTGTTTGTTTTTGAAAAATTCAAAATGGCGGATCTCGTCAGCAATGTCCCGTGCTGTCAATTGTAGGGCCTTCCGTGGTAAACTAAAATGAGTAACTGTCATATATTATGAAAATACATACATTTCCAACGGCATATACCTAAACTAAACAAATTTTTAACGAAAAAAACCTAACTTTTTGGACATAAAAAAAAGTTAATCTCGTTTAAAAAATATAAAAAAACAATTTTTCATACCAATAATAGGTATAAGCCGTAAAGAAAAGTATTCACTTTAAAACTATGTTCGAAATTTCGGAAACCTCTTAGCAGATTTGAGCTTACTAGAAATTCTGAGACTTTCGAACTTTCCAGAAATTACAAGAACTTTCCAAAACATCCTAGGGAATTTGCTAGAAGATTTCATAACTTTTCAGAAATTATAAAAGCTTCGTAGAAGACCCGAGCACTTCCTAGGAATTCTGAGTGTTTTCCAGAAATTTCGAGAGCTTCCCATAAGTTCCGAGAATTTTTCAAAAGTTCTGAGTATTTCCGAGAAAAATCCATGCATTTACAAAAAAAAAATCCGAAAACTTCACATAAATTCCGAGCACTTCTCAGAGTTTCCCAGATTTTCCTCAGAAGATGCGAGAACTTCCCAAAAATTTCGATAACTTCCCATTAGTTCCGAGAGTTTTCAAGAATTTTCAAAAGCTTTCCGGAAATTTCGGAAACCTCTTAGCAGATTTGAGCTTACTAGAAATTCTGAGAATTTCCCAAAAATTCCGATAACTGCCTAGAATTTCCAACAACTTGTCAGATTCTTACAGGATGCGGGCACTTCGATGAACATCCTAGAACTACCCACAACTCATGTGAGATTCCCAGAAGTTTCTCCCAAGAACTGTTTAAAAGATCCTTGAATTTTCCAGAAATTCTGAGAACTTTCCATAAATTCGGAGAGCTTCCCAGAAGATCAGTGAACTTAAAAAAAAATTCCAAGAACTTCCCAGAAATTCAGAGAACTTTCTAGAAATTCTGATAATTCTGAGTAGATCTGCAATTTTTCTAGCAAACCCAAGAGCTTTTGAGAAGCTCAATAGACTTTACATAATTCAAAGAACTTCCCAGAAAATTTCAAAATTTTCCCAGAAGATGCGAGAACTTCCCAGAAATTTCGGAAATTACCCAGAATGTAAGATACTAGAAACTTCCCAAATATCCCGAGAACTATCTACAATTTCTAAGATTTTCCCAGAATTTCCAAGAACTTCCTAGAACTTCCCACATAGTCCGGGTACTTTTTTTTTCCTTGATTTGTTTTCATCGATTGTGTTTTCCGTACTGAGTACCAATGCTACCGACGCTAAGGAGGCAGCTCACACACCAGGACCCTATCTATCGACCCATCAACTCATGGACCGGGGACCAACGGCTTTACTTCCCTTCCCTTGCTTCCATGAACCACCATTGTTTTGGATTTATGTTTTCTTTGTTGAGGAGCTGAAGTAATTTTAAAAGGTTTTCGCTCGAAAGTCATGCCTTTCAGGATGCCTTTCTGCGTACCAGGCTAAACGCCAACTGGGTACCAGGCTTAACGGGGGACTCTGACAATAATCGTCCACTTTGAAGGTACAGCAACATGTGTATAGTTAAATTGGATTCCATAACAGAGACGCCAAATGATTTTTTTTTTGAAAGTCTATGAGGACCAAAAATTACCTGATATTTACGAATAAAACCAGTAGGTGCAATATTCCGTTCACACCACAGACTATACTAAGTGATATAAAGGTGGGCACCTAGGGGAAGTACAACTTGATCTGAAGTAATATTTGATGTAAAAATTGCTCAAATTGGTAGATATTATAATTTTTAGTATAAATATTAATGATATTAACTGTCAAGCGGAAAGGTTCAAAGTAAAAAAATAACAGTGTAACTTTAACGCATACACTCAATGACGTTTCACCGTTGTTGTTTATGTTTACTGCAGCTTTCTGTTTGTCATAATTTTTGCCTAGATTTTCGTTTTCGATAGCTCTGATCGATTTCGACTTCGGCTTTTCATGATAAAAACGGTACTGGACGTTCCCCCAGCAACAAATCTCTCCAAGTTGCATTCTCATGGCGAATCGAGCGTAATACGACCACGGGACCATCACTCTGGGCTTCCGTTAACAGAGGCGGCGTTGTCAATCGATTCCCGTTCCATAGGAGAACAGCACATTGGTTCACAGACGATGAAGAATTCGTGGAAATTAATTCCTGGGAATGGAAGTGCGGCCGATTATGTGCACTGAGAACAGCTACCAAAAAAAGCCGAATTTATGAGAACAAGGAGCGGATTTTGGTGGCGGTGGCCAGCAAGATCACAAAGGAATGACTTGCCTCTCGTGTGAAATACGTTTTTGATTAAACGAATGTCAAATGTACACTTAAAACAAAAATAGTCAAAAACAAACAAAAAACAACTGTCAGACTAAGTATAAGTCGCAAATATCACACATATTAAACAGTTAGAGTGTAAACAAGATAGACAGCACCACGCTTCGCGTTTACTAAAGCTTTTATCGCTGATATCTAACGTCTCGGATCAGTTAATATTATCAAATCTCTTCGATTTGGCTGCAGATATATCTCGAGCATCGGGGAGAAATTTCAATATACGGCTATCCCATCAAAAGTGAATTATTTTAGAATAAATCGGTCGTGAAAATCGGTTCCACTTGGAAAGCAAACCAAGTGTACGACGTATCGCGACCGTATCACGTGATCTACAGTGGTAGTGGTTTGTCCAACAACTCGACCAGTCTCAAACGTCTAGTGTGTAGCACAACCATTTGGTGAGCTACAACCACAGAACACTTCTATCAGTGAGACTGTGTAAGAAAAGTGCTATCAATAGAGTATTGTTTTTCGTAGTGGCGAGAGTATCTCTCGATAAATGTGAAAAGAGCGACCACAACTAAACTCGATAGTTTGCCTCTGAACTGGAAAACAGATATCCATAGGGGTAGGTAACAGGTGACTGTTACCACTTATTGTTTTTCAAATCCTCGCCTGATCGTGATTAAGGTGGGGAATACAGGCACATTCAAATTAGGAGATGGCTGCCTCCAGTAGTGGAGGCAACTCAGGAAAGCACCCCGGGCCTCTTCTACCA